TACGAGAATGAGCGTATTGTATTCTAATTGTCCAAAGTCATATATTGGGAAGTCCATGACGCTAGAAACTCTTCATGTGCTGAAGGCGATGGGGGGGGTATTATGATTTTAACGCTGGGACTCGAACACCTGTTCTGTCGGAAATACATTTTATGTTTATCACCTGTTCTGTCGGAAATACATTTTATGTTTATCACCTGTTCTGTCGGAAATGCATTTTATGTTTATCACCTGTTCTGTCGGAAATACATTTTATGTTTATCACCTGTTCTGTCGGAAATACATTTCATGTTTATCAAGAACATTTTTATTTTATCGAAAATTAATTTCAAAAAACTAAAATGAAGGAGATTGAATAAAATGATGACAAAAACTTCCAAATGAATTATTTTGGAAAAGTTTTTGTTTAACATATAAATTAAAAAATTTCTGAAAATTAAATTCGTTACTTAATTTTAAATTTTATTAAACTGCTTATTTATTTGAAGAAGATGCAGGTATTTCTTTTTTGTGTGAGTTAGTCTGATCCAATATAACTTGCATTTTACTACTAACTCAAATCACATCTAAATTTTGAGAAGTTGGGTCAAAAATTTAAATTTTCTTCTGATTCATATTTTTAGCGTTTTTCAAAGCGTGATTAACTTTCTAACCTGCCTAAAACTTAAATTTTATAGTTATGATACGGTTTTAGTGCATTGCTCTATATCGTAGCATTTATAACTATTTCAATAGCTGATGCAGTCTTTATGAAAAATATTTGAAGCGTCACTCTAAGGTTTTAACGGTATGAAAGCAATCATTTATACCCTGACTTACTTCCTTTTTCAGTGACTAAACAATTCGGATTAATTTTTTTCAGACATTTTAATATTTGACAGCTGCTTTTATTTTATTTTTTTACTCTCAAGATGTCAATATCACTTTCAGTAAAAAAAATGGATTTTTCATAAATCTTATTTGTCATTTAAAAAAAAAATTCTTTTACACATACTTTTCTCATGCAATATAGCCTCTTGAGCAACCAAATTGAGTTTCTGTATCTTGGTCAACTAAGCTACGTCAGGTTCTTTAAAATATTTTTTACAGTAATGAGCTTTTCTACTTCTCCAAAATCTATTCACTTGAATTCTACCCAGAATAATTAAAAGTTTTTTTTCTAAAAATTGCAAAGGCCTCATTATCAAGCGCAGTTTCTGTTAATATACACGTTGCAAAAGTAAGTGCAGCTCTAGTAATGATTCAGTAAATTAGTTATTCAGATGTTAGTTTGATGAGTGAATAGAAATCTACTAAGACTTTGAAGCATTTTGCACATGCAAATGATGCATCTTTACTCTTAATTTGGAAAAGACTTGTTTAGTGTGGGATATATCCTCCGTTTTGTATTATTCACATTTAGTCAAATCTTTATATCATGATTTGGCAAACAAAACTGGTATATGGCTATCAACAAAAAATCCATTGGATTTTAGTCATAAAATCCGACAAATATTGCGGAATTTATACCGTCGTACCACTTACCTAAATGCAGTCTGAAGCAAAATACAATTTATTCATTGATTTATGTTTTTGTTTTAGTTGAAAATTCTATATTGACGTGAATTTTTCACGCATATATTATAGAAGAACATATCAAGGGCAAAATATTATGCTATGTACATCTACCAATGCCAAATTCTAAAATATGACAGCATCTAATAATGAAGAGCATTGCTAATTATTTAGTGAATATTTTACTAGTGATAAGCATCATACATTTTGCTTAAAGAACATCGTATAACCTCTGACAATATATGTACGTATATGCGAATATTTTTACAACCAATAAAATTCTTATGGTCAATTTTTAAGAGTGAATAACGTATAGACCTACAAATTAATCTTTTATGATTGATGTATTGCATGGTACGTTTTTAAAAAATCGGATATTACCTAATATCATATTATTTTCCTACATTTTTAAAAACTATGGATGATTTATAAACAGAGGATGTATTTGCTCATTCGATGATTCTGACTTATATCCAAGCTTATAAGCACATTAGAAATGAAGTAATCACACATGAAATTATTTTAGCAAAATCTAGTCAACAATTCTTATTTTATGGGGAAAATTAAAAATAATCTTTATCACTAGAGAAATTGTTGTTGGGAGAAATTTAAGAGCTTTATTGCATTTCTCAGAAAGATTTATTTCACATTTTTATTTCAAAGCTTTTCACTTCAGAAATATACTTTTTAATAGTAACTAAAATCATCTATGTCAAAAATATAGTTACAGTTGCGAATAATCTTAAAATATATTTTCCGATCGAAAAATTTTCTGAGAATTCAAGAATATTATTTTGGAGCAGATTCTTTTCACCGAAAAGCCTTTTTGAAAATTTTTCAAATTCTGAAATCCTAAGAAAAGCTTATAAATTTTCGTTTAATACTGCTGAATCGTAGATATTAAATTGCATGCCCCTTATGGTTATTTTTTCTCTTTCTACTTATTACTTAACTGAAGCAATTAATTTTTATTTATTACAGGAAGGAAAAACTTCAATAAAAGTTTAACAACGTCTGAACAAAAAAATCAATATTTTGAAATATTGGCTTCTGTTGTATTTTAATGAAATGCATTTTTTCTTAAAAAGTATACTCATAATTTCAACACCAACAAAACTAAAACATTTCATTCCAGTAATTTGTTTCTCTTAGTTGTATTGCAAGATTACACAATTTAAGTTATCTTGAAAATATTTAATGTATTTTTGAGGTTGTTTCGAGATTAATTTAAGTCGGCAACAAAGAAAAACCCTCAGAAATCAACCTCCCAAGGTTTATAATCAAGGGGTAGGAATCTAGGGGTTTTCACACTTAGATTCTTTTGAGGTTGATTTAAATGCAGTTCACATCAACATGCTAGAGGAGGCTGTTTTCAAGGTGTACAGGCTATTTTTTTTTTTACACTTCAAGTTGTTTTGGGTTGATTTAAATGTACTTCATAGCAACCTTGAAGGAGAGTAGATTTTCTAAAGATATACTGGTTATTTTTTTAAATTTTAAGCAAATGAAGTGATTTCAAGATATAGATATTTTCATCTGATTTCCACTAAAAGCGCCGAGGCTTTTATTGAGGTGAACAAAGTTCTTCCAGGCCATAGAAGGCGCCACTGAAAAACACGAATCGCACACTCTGCCTTAAATTTGCTGGGTTTCACCAAGCAGGCTTACCCGTGTTTCAAGTGGCATTAGAATCAACCAACCAACCAAGTTCTTCTTTTTTACACCTAAGGATGTTAAATACGAAGTCATAAATAGAAAGTTTTTCAAAATTCTAAGGTATCACTCGATATTTCATGAATATGTTGTCTCTAAGGCTCAGAAGCTCATAATATTCATTTCACCTTGTTGATCTGCAGAAAAACTTGGCTGATCCGATAACTTGATGAATTGAAGGTATATAGAATTTTAGCTAATTAATGTTCGCCTTATTTGCTTCTGTATTATTAAATTTCAAACGTCTGTCTTGTTAAAGTTTATCAAAAGACAAGTAATTTGTAGATTGTTCAGTTGTACTAGCTTGATTCTTTAGTCATCGAAAAAAGAACAAATGACATTATGTTAATAGAAGCATACATAAGCATTATTAATTTTCCAGCAATTACCTTATAACTTAATGTGTGCCTAGTGGGTATTGTGCAGATTATTTAAGAATTAAAACACTTTTCAACACTTCAACAGATCTTCTATTCATTTAAACGCATGCAAAGCGGATAACATGCAGATTACTTAGATAATTTAAGAAATAAAATATTTTTCGCACTTTAACAAATCACTCTAGTTAATCAGTACAATACTAGATACTGTGTAGAATACATGATTTCTGCACTTTAATGGAAACCAATACTGTTGAATAGGGTCAATATCTGCTGAGAAGTCAAGAACCGGGCCTACAAACCTGGTGACGTGCTGCTATGGAGGTACGAAGCTGAAACTTTTATTTCAAATGTCTCAATATTATATTACTTATTCATTATATATTACTTATTCGTTCGTGTCTTAATATTATATTACTTATTGTTTCGTTACACTGAGAAAAAAAAGCTTAGTCAAAATATCAGATTTTCATAAAATATACTCCTGTTTCTGGTTGTATAAGAACTCCAAAATGCTCTGTAATTTTTACCAATGCACTTTGGTATTGATAATTGGTAAGTTTAACGAAAAAATATGGTTTTATAACATGTGGTAAAATGTGTTAAATATGATAAAATATGCAAAATAAAATGATATTTTTGAAGCTCATCAAAACTAGGCTACCAGTTTCAAGACTTGATAGAGTGTGAATTCAATAAAAGATTTGGTATGAAAGATTCCGAATGAAAGATTCTCTTAGGTTTTGTTGAATTCACGTCTTTCATGTCTTGAAACTGGTAGCCTAGTTTTGATGCGCTTCAAAAACATAATTTCATTTTACATATTTTATCATATTTAAAAAATTTTATCACTTATTATAAAACCATATTTTGTTGCTAATTTTACCAAAATCAATATAGAAGCCTATTTTTGATGTGCTTGAAACATGTCGACTGTCATTTAATTCCTACATACTTTTGAAGAGTATGAAGTTTATAATCAGGTAATATCTTACCGCTTCAGTTTCTTAAAATTATATATTTAATGGTAAAATATGGTAATTTTAACTTGATATCATAGAGTGTGACATAAAAACCATTTATCCGGTAACATTTACCTTTCAGTTCTGTATTTTTTACTAAATGAATGGTAATAAGTGCCATAATTTTGAAAAGCATAATTACCGATAAGCCGTTATCATATGAACGGAGAAATTACCAAATGAATGGTTCAGATATCGTATAACTTAGCTTTACTAATCAGACTTATGTTTCTTTCGCCAGAAAAGCCTTTACCATCATTTACCATCGGTTATTTTACCAGAATTTTTTTCCTCCATGCAAAAATGTCATAAATTAATTCATATAACTCACCGACTAACTGAAGATAAACAATTCCATTTCTACTTCTCGCTCTTCGAAAATCCACTCTGCACCGATACTCTCCTTCGTCCTCTTCAGTTAAATATTCCAAATATAATATTGAGGGATTATCATCTAAACTAAGGCTGACCCTAGTGGAAACAGCCTCTCCTGTCACGTGTCTTGCCTGCTCAATGTTTGTTTTGCGAGCATCGACACTGTAAATAGGTTTAGTAATATCGTCTTTGTACCAAAGAATGAGCGCGACTGCATCGTCGTTTACTGGAGGTGTTATGTTACAAGGCAGGGCAACTTTACTTCCTGTGATACCAAGCACACTAGACACAGTTTCTGAAAATAGACAAAGAAACATGCATTAATAAAGGGTAAATATCTACTCTTTTGACCTTTCAGTAATGTCATTAGACAGAAAAAAATTCTTACTAACTAAATGTTAAAGGGTTATTAATTTAAAACGACAAAGTTTTTCTACAAAAAAACAGAAAATTTAAAAGATAAAACCTAAGAATGAAAACAGTCACAAGATACCATTTTGCCCATATCAGATTTGATTCACTCATAGTTTTTACTTGCACAACACTTTGTCTGTGCGAAAACCCTTCTTACTCTGGGTTGTGACTTGCCCCTAGAAATTTTATCCTTGCTAGCAGTGCTCAAGACGTTGATAAAGAAGGTTCAGTTAAGGTTTTACTTGCATACACTTTTGTCTGTTCGAAATTTTTGTTTAACCAGGTTCAGTCCTCATAAAAATTTTTACCAAATTACATTTTCCTTTCCTCTTAATATCCTTGGAAAATTAAGATTATTAAAGGCTTTGCTTGCACACGATTTTATGCTGTGCATTCTAAGAATCTTTTGTGAAGTACGAAGAATTGATCAAACCTCTAATTTATAAGATCAGTTCTCTTTTTGAGAAAAAAAAATATATATATATGGGTAAAGTGCGTATATATATATATATANTATATATATATGTTTGTGTGTGTAGTGCCATTTCTTGTGCTGTAAGCTAATCTGGCTAGAAATCCAACCAGATTATGTAAGCTGCAAGTTAACTAATTTCCCCGTGCGAATTTCCCTAAGACACGAGAGACACGGGAGCGCGTTGCGGAACTAAACAAAAAAGGAGACGCTTATGGATTCCAGAGAGGAGTAGCAATGATAATTTTGTCTTAACTTCACGAAGACGAACTCATTTATTTTGGTGTTATTTATGTGTTTGTTTATCGTCCATCTTTATGTAAATTTAGCGTTTAATATATGTTTTGTTAAAGTATAGTGTGTCTCATTTTCAAAGACGACCACTCATGCCGTCCCCATATATATATATATACTCACTTTACCCTACCATGTGTTAAGAAAAAAAAAATGCCTACAATAATACAATGCAATACACATTTGATATCACTATAATTATTTTATATAATGCTGACAAAAAAATAAGATTCATATTTATTTTCATTTGTAAAACTCTTCCCAAAAATATGTAGTTTTAACTAATTTCTTATTTTAGTATTTTTACATAAATTATATTCTTATAACTTTACCTTAACAAAAATTATTTATTGTACTTAGAACGCATAAATGGATGATAAAAACAAAGTTATAAAAAAAAATTTTCATGGAAATTTTTTTCAAGCAAAGCATGTACATATACTGTTTAACATTATAATACCACTATTTTTTAAATTACTTAACAAGCACTTAAAATAAATGAATACTCTCCGTGTATAAACTGATATAAGTATCGAAAATAACATTTTCAACTTACTTAGATGATATGCATATAAAAATATATAGTAAATATGTAAAATAAACCTATAGACGTAATACAAAAAATTTATTCATTTTAAAACTATGTCCTTTCATTTATAACACAGATAAATGCAGTAACATTTATAATTTTCAAAACCAATTAGAAATTTAGGAGAAACGAGTCAACCTTTTGAAGCCGAAATAATGACTTTGTCAGCATTGTTAATTACAGATATATGCTCGCATTATACTCAAATTCTTTAAACATAAATATAGTCGGCCTCAGCATACTGCATCAATATTTATTATTAAAATTTCAGTATAAAATTGCTTTTTATACTGAATAGACCATAATGTTTAATAACACTATGCATAAAATATTGCAAATATTGCTTAAAATAAATGCATAAAAGACCTGTTTTTCTTAGAGGTACTATTCTTCATTGAAACTCGTACATGTAAAATGCATTAAATATTTTTAATACTATGTAATGTTTTCCTTTTATATTCCAAAGCAATATTTCATCCATAAAAAGGATATCTCATACACATCATTTACTCCAAAACTCTGCATATTAGAGAAAAATGGAAACCATTTTCATTGAATTTTTAATGAATAGTGTCAGGCATTTTAACTTATTATGGATCCAAAAAACACGTTAACTCCATTATTTCAAGCAAAGACTGTGACACAATTTCCATAAAAGATATTCATATCATTTAATGTAATAATGGAAAATAATAACGTTTTCTACTACGCATGAATTATTGATGAACTTTAATCAGAATTAAATTGAAAACTGTGTCTAAAAGTAGAAGAGACATCCGATAGAGTTATTACAAAATACGAGTTTTCTTTCCAAATGATTCAGAAAGCTCAATTTGGTAATTGAGACATTAGTAATTTAATCTAAATTTTTCTTTCATTTAACTAGAAGGTGTACCGCAAAGTCATTTAGACTCTATGGCGATATGAAACGAAAATTACCCATTATATTCTTGTTACTTTCGTAAATGACCGCTTTATTTTTAAAGAGAAGATGATACGTTGAAACAATGCTTTGGGAGAAGAATTTGAAGTTGTTAGTATTCATGTTTTAAACCAATCATATCAAGACGTGCGGAAATGTGTTCTTTTTAGAGACATAGTTGCTGTTCCAAGTTAATGCTTTATTAGTTTGTTTTTTGTAGTAAAAATCTCATAACACGAAGTCATTTCAAAACCTAATTCTGCTTGTAAAATTCGAGCATACTTTTTATTTACTTTTTATTTAGTACTTATCTCAGCAACTATTTGGAAATCAAGCCACTATTATGCGATTTATATTATAATCTACAATAATTATGCACTTTTCGAATTTTAACTCTGGAATTACGTAAAATAACCAGCAGTTGAATTCCATGCCAACTGAAACAAGTAGTGAATTTTTAAAGTTTAAGCAATATCCTTGTATTTGGTATCATTTTAAAGGACATTTGTTGTAATTTATGAATTCAAAAGTTATTGTTTGGAGCTATGCGTAATTATTGTAAAATTTAGCATAAATAGCGAGCATTCATAATTTTGACTTATTTTACCAAAAAACTGACTATTTTAAAGAATAATACGTTAAAATTATCACGATTTTACGTATAGTTTGATTTATATTGTAAAATAGACTGTTCCTGAGTCTAACTATGCAGTGATTACCACGAAAAAATATTTTTTTCTTATTTTTTAAGTCAAAAATTATCTCAAATATATACTTTCCCCTCTGTTACAATTATTATTTTAAGTTTATTTTATTCATTATCCGAAAAACTTTTAAACTTAATATTTGGTTTTTACAATAAAGTCTATTAGTACAATCATGTTATGCTATATTTTTGAAGTAAAAAAAATTAAAAACTTTTAAGTTCCTTATATAACAGACAAAACTAAATGTCCCCCCCAGTTACACAAAATTGATAGGTTGACCATTAAAAGGGAATGTAAACAAGTACTAATACATCTTGATTCAACTAGTTTAAACCAGTTTCTCCACTATTAGAGCACGCTTTTTATACAAAGCTGTGCCGTTTTTATTTAATAGTGTGTTTAGTTTATAGTTAAAAGTTTTTTAAAGTGAGTAATCAATATACGAAAATTAGTAGCAGAAAGAATGAGAGATTATAGAACTAGAATGTTCCCAAAAAAAGAAAAATATGTGTAAGAAGAAAGATAAAAATATATAAAACGAAAATTCATGATAACAGTAGTATTTTGAAAGAAAAAACCTTAACAGAGAAATAGATAAATTGAAAAAAAAGAAGACAAATGAAAAATAAAAAGACACTGATACAAGCAGTAGAAATTCAGGACAGATATTCTCTTTTTTTTTAATATTCTTTAGGCATTGGGGAAAGCTATTAAAAAAGCAAACCGTGCATTACCCGTATCTTCAAGAAAACGTTGTTCTGTTCTATGCATACTCTGTAACCTTATTGTCCAAGCAAAAGAAATAGCTTAGTAACAAAGTTTCTGATAAAACAAAAAAAAACTTGTAATAAATTTCCACTCACGTGATAAACTTTCTTACCAGACTTCGGGTAGAACTGAGAGCAGGATTGTCAAAGAAAATGGACAGAAAGTCCATAAAGCCAAACTTGCACCATAATGGAAGCATATCAAGTATCATAGCAGATGCATCCAAACATACAAATTGGCAAATCTAAGCTCTGCTTTACTACGACCATTCCATATTTTATGCGTAGGTAAAACACCATATAAAATGTGTATGTGCTATTCACGAAAATGTGAATTTTCAATTAAAATCACAGTTGTTTGCCTAATAATTACATGGAATTACTAAATATACTTGCGACAATCGCTCAATTTACTTTTTATTTTATAACCATCGTTGAACAGCCGATCCGAATTTGAGTTTACGAATTTGAGTTTGAGTTAATTTTGAATCCAATCCAAAAGACCAGGGGACTCCTCGATCAGTACCACTAGAGGTATTGTTTTGGTTTGGAAACTTGATGGACTTTGAAATCAGACATATTTAACGTACACCAGTCATCATTTAAAACACTGGGAATCTCTGGATGTTGCTATATACAGTTTTCGCAAGTATAAAAAGTTCAAGGAAAAAATTGGGTAGTTAATTTTGTTGCCCTAATAACTGAAACTGAGAAAGAAACAAACAATGCACTGGTTTTTCTTTTAAACAGGATCCGGAAAAATAAAAATTTTCAAATCGAACTACAAAGATATAGCACAGGCTTCAAATGTAGCACAGGTTTATAGCAGTGCTGCCAACTCCAACTTTAAATAACCGAAGAGTCACTTTTAGCAGAGATATTTCCCTTTAACCTCTTGTCAAATTTGTAAGACGTCCCCTCTGTTACATTCCATGTCCTCTCTGTTACGATGCATTATTTGGATTTAAAAAAGAAGGGGTTGGAATTTTAAAAGTCTTATAATAATTTATTTTACCTCGAAATGTGATAATTAAAAAAAATTACAGATAATGTTCAGGATAGTCCAAATCACAGAATTTAGCGTAAATAACAGTGCATGTCAAAAATGTGGGATTTTATTTGTCCCCTCTGTTACAACTACATTTAATCAACGTGCAATTTAATTATGAAGCTATTTTATTATTTTAGGCCGATTAACTAAACATTGCACCCTAAAGTGGCATATTCTAGCAGAGTTTTTGTTTTCAAAAATATTTAATATATTTTTTCGAACAAAATACTTGTGCGATTTCCTCTCCGTTACACTTGGAATTCAACAGCAGCAGTGTGTCCATCCGATTGCTTACCGATTGCGAACCATAAAGCTTATGGTTAGGGACGTATCTTTATTTTCATGGTTTTGAAACCGTTTACGATTGTCAGAGGTATAAAAACCGTGCTTACAAATCTATACGGTTTAGAAACCATTTTCAACTTGTATAGTTTCTAAACCGTAAAAATAAAACTTGAACGGACATTGGAGCTTTGAGAGTGCTGCCCCATGTATGTGTGTGTTATAGTTTCGTATAGGCTAGGACGATTGAAGACGGCAGAAAACTAGAAATTTTTCATGTGTAGAAAGAATGAAAGACATACCATCGCTGGGATTCGAACCCTGCTCAGCTGATCAAGAGATTCTCCGATTTGCTCTCTCAGCTACTGCCTAGTTGGCGCGAACAGAATTATGGTTGTTAAACCGTATTAGGTAAAAACAATCAATTGAAATTTTTTTCTCATACTTAGCAGTTCAAGTATAATTTTCTATACGGTTATTCGACTGTTTTGGTTAAAAATGGTAAAATAACAACTAAATAAATTGCTATTTAGCAATTTTTACGGAGACATTCCTAACAGTGTGTTGTTATATACAATATTAAGTTTTTATATTATATTAAACATTAAGATTCATTAATTTATTCGAAGTAAAAGTATTCGATTTACTGTTATTCATTTCGGAGCGTGTTGCCCCATAGCAATGTATATATTTGATGCAACATTAATATGGTTAAAAATTATTATTTTATTGTAGAGATTGATATATTAAGACAGATTAATATGCTTTTGTTAGATTGATATTGTAGAGATTAATATATATAGAATTGTAGAGAACGATGGCATATTATTACTGCACTTCAATTAAACATGATTCAAGCTAACACTATATTAAGATTCAATTAAATTTTCATGATAAGGTAAAAATTCAGCGTTCAAAGTTTGTGGTAAAGTTATAAAATTTTAAAATTTTAAATTTTTTTTCCTTGAATATTTAGAAGCAATGGAAAATAATAAACATTCTAGTATAATTTGAACTATAACTAACAAATGTCGTTATGAACCCAAGAAATTTCCTTAAAATGAAAGTAGTGTTTTAAATTAGTACTGTAATTTATGCAGCTAACTATAGACAATGTTTTAAAGAGACACATGCACGCATTCAGATAAAGCTCATTTGCATTAACTTAGAGCACATGTCATACAGCTGCGAAGGAATTGTTAATGAATCAGGGGAATTAAATTATCAGAGCGCAAAACTTCAAACAATTAATGATTATTATGGACATATTATAAACTATATAAACACGTGTTTTAATTTTCATTTAGTTTAAATTTCAATTCACAGAAATAAAAGAAAAGAAAAGACAGTAGCTATAATTTTATTGAAACTGATTAAATAAATGAAGATGAATCAGTTGCTAGTAATCAGAAAATATATAAACTCTTCAACAGTTTTTTCAAAGAAAAATTTAACTTTTTTATTAATTGTTGTTATAAAATAAGTTGAACTATGAAAAATAATTTTTATTGCATTCTCACAAACCGAACAGTAATAAATTGAAATAAAAACAATTTAAAAACAAATTAAAAAATTTTATAAAATAGTGCAAAATATTTCTTTGCGTATACATTTCGTTATTAAATATAAATATAAAGGACAAATTTAATTTTTTAGAACGTGTTCAGTAGTTCAAAATATCCACAATTTTATTACAAGTTTCACTTATTTCCATTGAGTTGTTATAAGTTATAATAAGAGCAAACACTCTTAACATATTAACGAAGGAAAATTACTTTCACTAAAGCACCTTTAAAACATCAAATGATTATAAAATTGAGATTCTTTGCCACTTAAGTTATTCCACTATTTTCCTAAGCAAAAAAATCGAACATAACAAAAAAAATATATGTTTTAAGCCACTGAAGTTGAAAATTAAAATTATAATCACTATTAAAACAAACATTACTAAGCAAAATATATAAAATTTGATGATCAATCTCTATTGTAAAAGTATTTTTTTCCTTCTTTTTAGAAGTATTAAGACTACTTTTTTTTCTAGAAAATCCTTCTTTTTCTATTAATGGTGGTTTTGACTTTACGATTTTAACACAAAGAAGAAGAAAAATATCTAATTAAAAATATATGAACTAAAATCACAACCGAGTGAGAGTCTGAACTTTATACTAACAGAGTTTTTAACTGAGGAGGAGACTTTTTGTCATTATTAAATTT